ATATATATATATATATATCCTTCCTCAAAAGTGCTCACTTTAGGTACTTCTTGTATTGTGTACGGTTTCCAGTTGTTGAGATGTATTGTTTCTTATTTTTATTGTCTCTTATTGCTCATTTTCTAATATTTATTGTCTTTTTATTATATTGTTTCTATGCCCTTCTACTAGGGCTGGGTAAAAAAATATTGATATCTCAATTATAATCGATTCTCATTTTTACGAAACGATATCGATTCTTAAATCCCAATTAGTTTTAATTAGTCTAGCGATGTTTTCAGTTAATGGACGGAACATTGAATGGCACTTCCCATTCAATATATCGCAATAAGCATTGTGCTTTGGTACTTTTAATATGAAACAAAGTCTCAGATTTCAAATTATGTTCATTGTATTGCAGTATTCAAACAATAAATGCTGTTTTGGCGCTGTTTAATGTGGAGTGACAGATCGCTGTAGCGCCTCAGTTCAACAGACGCGGCAGCGCGAGGCGCACATGAACTGATCATCTCCTCCACATTACTACCAGTTTCAGCACAAAATAAACATGACTAAACATCCGAAGGCAAGTTAAAAGGAAGAGTACAACTTTACAATCCGTATCCTGTCTCATGTAATCGCTCAATCTGTGTTTCAGCCGCGCAAAGACGTCAATATAACAGCTTGCAAACAATGTCACGTAATGTCACATTTACCTCAGAAAAAAAACATATTTGGTGACCATAAACTCATTAGTCAGCTAGAAAAATAAACTGTAGAGAGGAGCATTTTTCTAAATATATGCACCATATAATATATTAATTATAACTTTTACTGTTCTTCAATGTTTAATTTATATATTTTTTTACGGCAGCCACCATTTAAATGTTTCTATTAAAAAAAAACGAATTGAAGTAGAAATATCATTATGCAATTGTAACTTTTATTATAAAAACTTCATTAAGTGTAATTTAAGCAGTTGTATAGTCTAAAAAAATCAGTCAGTTTTAACATTCAATATTATATTAATGTAGTACCAACTGACTCTCATGTATATTTTACAGCATTAGTTGAGAGATGTGTACCAGATATATATCCAAAATAATCGATATTGAATCGAATCGAATTGGGAATCGAATCAAATCGCCAATGCTTGTGAATGAGAATCGAATCGTGAAATTTGTGTCAAAACCCAGCCCTACCTTCTACCCCATCTTTTCAAGAGAAAGAATTTCACTGTACTGAAGAGGTACAGATGACAAAGATCTTGAAGCTTTATAAAAGAAACTTTATTTCCAGACGGAACTGACGAGTTTAGTCAGCTTTTGCCATTTTTTGGTCAGAATGAACAGACTGTCAGTTTGTAGCAAATGTTTATATTCACAGTATATGAACACACATTAAAAATAAATCACTCAGGGCAACAACAACATCTATTTTTTTATCAGTATTTCAAACGCGTGCTGTGCCGCATGACTACTGATCATCATCTCTACCTCAATGTTTCTCCTGCCCTCTCACTGTCAGACACTAATCACGTGAGATGACTGCATGCAATCAAACAAGTTAAAGACAATGAGCAAGAGAATAAAGGAAAAGTGAGCCGGTGAAAGTGTGTGGATGAATATGGCAGTGGGCAGAGGCCAACCGAGGGAAGCACATTGTTTGCACATCGAGCCCATTGTCACGCAACTGGCTGAACATTCAAAAAGCGACCTCAGGTTCCAGATAAGAATCTGCCCACTTTGTGAAAAGCATGAGCAATCAAAACGCTGAGCTCTTCACTTCAGTCACTATCAGACACGAGCCACACATATTTCAGCATTAAACAGCACACACACATGCCACATCTTGTATTGTGGCAGTCTGTTTGCATCCCTTATATATTTTACCAACTAAACTAAAAACTACATATATTCCTAAAACTGTGGTCTGTCAAATACTTTAAGTTTATTGGTTATATATTTTTGTGTGCTTTATTTCCTTTGCATTAGCTTTAATGGAAAAGCCCTTGGTTTGTTTTTAATGAGGGTATTGTATGCATCGCAGACATTCACGTAATGATGACAAAACTGATCTACAATATCGGGAAACTGACAGCATTGTGGGCAAAAGTGCAAGACATCAGACTTAAAATAGCACTTTATGTGAAAAACATTAGTGGTCAGCTAATATGTGTTTTTCAATGCCCGAGGTTGAGTGGAATTGTCATATTTGTGTTGCAATTTAATTAAGAACACCAAGGTGTACATCCAAACAAATCAATACACAAAATTTACACTAATATTTTTGAAATCAGAAATTTAAGATGAACCTCACATGCTCAAAGCCAAAAACAAAATCAAGCCTTTCATAGGCAAAAGCTGCATTCTAAAAATAAATGCAAATAAAAATTGTACTCTTTTAATTGCTTCTCATACTCAGTATTTTTGTTACAAACTTAAAATTGGATTTTTTTTTCAGTTCACTTAGTTTCATTAACATTAACAAAGTGCAATTTAAATCAACTTTATCTGTGTGCATGACTCATCAAAAAAAATAAATAAATAAAAAGTAAAATCAAATTAAAAATTCATAAGCAATTATGTAAAAAACATTCTATCAAATACAGCAGAGTCCGATAATGCTTTCACAATCTTAAGAATTAAGAAATTTGCTTTGTTGAAACAAAAATATCAATGTCCTCTATCTGAGAATATCACTGTGTCAACAGTATGCAATAATGTTTCAGTTCATGACAGCTCGAGCAGGCCCCGCCCCCTCACCCAACAAGCACCAATCAGATTCGAGTGGTGTTCCCTTTAAACGCCCCCCAAAGGAGATGCAGGAGAGCCTCTGATGGGAATTTGAACCCTTCCACCTTACAATGAAATTTATAGAAACAGTTGGAAAATAATTCAAAACAACTAGAGATATCAGAATAATAAGTATTTCTGTGAATTATAAGTATATACACTTTTGAGTCTCATCTGTAGAAAGTTGTTCACACAGTCATATCCTTCAATACAGAGAAATACATAACAGATATCAGAATAATATGCATCGCTGAACTATATGTATATATAAAGTTGAGTGTCATCTGTAGAAATTTGGTCACACAGTCAAAACCTTCAATACATAAAAATAAAAAAAATAATTTTATTTTGAATATATTAGAACGGTTTTTGATGTATTATTATAATGTAACATGTCTATAAATTGTTTTATGACCAATATGATACATTACGTATAAATACAAATGTCTGTATTTTATGAATACTTTGATGGATTATTATCACTATATTCACAAATTTCTATAACAATTATAGGCTATATAAAAAACATATCAATAAAAATGTTATTCCTAATTCTATGTTTCTGAGTATTATGTATATACAATGTATTACGTTTTATTATGTATAACTGTTTTTAATGCATTTTAATGTAGCATGTCTATAAATTACGTTTTATTATACATTACGTCTATAAATGTTTTATGACCATTATGATACATTATGTATACAGGTGCATCTCAATAAATTAGAATGTCATGGAAAAGTTCATTTATTTCAGTAATTCAACTCAAATTGTGAAACTCGTGTATTAAATAAATTCAATGCACACAGACTGAAGTAGTTTAAGTCTTTGGTTCTTTTAATTGTGAGGATTTTGGCTCACATTTAACAAAAACCCACCAATTCACTATCTCAACAAATGAGAATATGGTGACATGCCAATCAGCTAATCAACTCAAAACACCTGCAAAGGTTTCCTGAGCCTTCAAAATGGCCTCTCAGTTTGGTTCACTAGGCTACACAATCATGAGGAAGACTGCTGATCTGACAGTTGTCCACAAGACAATCATTGACACCCTTCACAAGGAGTGTCTGTATTTTATGGATGCTTTGATGCATTAACCTCACTATATTCACACATTTCTATAACAATTATAGGCTATATAAAAAAATAAATAAAAATATCAATAAAAAATACTCTTCCTAATTCTACAGCTTTCTGACTTTTAATGTATAAACAATGTTTTATACAGGCTACTGACTAATCTCACCTGAAATGGCAGCATGTTGTTGCTGTTGTCGGTTCTGAAGGGCTCCGGAGGCTCGGAGATCATCCAGGGTTTCTGCAGGGCTCCTGGTCTCTGGTATTTCGGGGGCGCGATGACATTGCTCGGGAAGGGCTTCTTCGTCGGGGAGATGGGGTTGAGCGGAGACGGGACGCCGAGCCCGAGCGCTCTCCGCGGGTCTCTGCCGCTCCAGGGGTTCGCCGCGGAGCTCCACACCGCGTTCTGGTGGTTATTCCAGGCGGACGAAGAAGCGGACGACGCGGACACTTTATTGATGAGCGTCTGGTGGCTGTAGGGGTTCCTCTGGTTCACACTCAGCGGAGCCCTTCTCATCTGCGGGGGAAAATTACCTCCGAAAGCCGGGTTGACGTGATGGGGAAAGTTTTGAAAAAGCATCGTCCCGTTTACCGACGGAATCCCTTGGAAAAAGCCTTCGTCTACGGCGTTGGTGGACCAAGTGCTGCCGAACGACGGCGACAGAGAGGAATCCTGAGGGAAACCCAAACCCGGTAACACCGGAGACTCCATGGCGACCCGCTCGTTGTGACCGACGTGGTTGTGCTCGTCCGGGACCGGAGGCTCGGAGGGGGTCGGGGTGGATGGAGGCTCTGTATTTGACGGCTCTTGGTGCTGGTGAGGCTGAGCTTTGCTTTTGTCCATCAGTAAATCATCCTGCATGTTTTGAGCTGAAACAGATGATCAGTTATTATTGATCACAGCGATCGGGCTGGGAGTTTTATTATTAATGAGCCCCTGATCAGCCATGTAGCTATCCAAACTGAGAGGCCATTTTGAAGGCTCAGGAAACCTTTGCAGGTGTTTTGTGTTGATTAGCTGATTGGCATGTCACCATATTCTCATTTGTTGAGATAGTGAATTGGTGGGTTTTTGTTAAATGTGAGCCAAAATCATCACAATTAAAAGAACCAAAGACTTAAACTACTTCAGTCTGTGTGCATTGAATTTATTTAATACACGAGTTTCACAATTTGAGTTGAATTACTGAAATAAATGAACTTTTCCACGACATTCTAATTTATTGAGATGCACCTGTAAATACAGATGTCTGTATTTTATGGATGCTTTGATGCATTAACCTCACTATATTCACACATTTCTATAACAATTATAGGCTATATAAAAAAATAAATAAAAATATCAATAAAAAATACTCTTCCTAATTCTACAGCTTTCTGACTTTTAATGTATAAACAATGTTTTATACAGGCTACTGACTAATCTCACCTGAAATGGCAGCATGTTGTTGCTGTTGTCGGTTCTGAAGGGCTCCGGAGGCTCGGAGATCATCCAGGGTTTCTGCAGGGCTCCTGGTCTCTGGTATTTCGGGGGCGCGATGACATTGCTCGGGAAGGGCTTCTTCGTCGGGGAGATGGGGTTGAGCGGAGACGGGACGCCGAGCCCGAGCGCTCTCCGCGGGTCTCTGCCGCTCCAGGGGTTCGCCGCGGAGCTCCACACCGCGTTCTGGTGGTTATTCCAGGCGGACGAAGAAGCGGACGACGCGGACACTTTATTGATGAGCGTCTGGTGGCTGTAGGGGTTCCTCTGGTTCACACTCAGCGGAGCCCTTCTCATCTGCGGGGGAAAATTACCTCCGAAAGCCGGGTTGACGTGATGGGGAAAGTTTTGAAAAAGCATCGTCCCGTTTACCGACGGAATCCCTTGGAAAAAGCCTTCGTCTACGGCGTTGGTGGACCAAGTGCTGCCGAACGACGGCGACAGAGAGGAATCCTGAGGGAAACCCAAACCCGGTAACACCGGAGACTCCATGGCGACCCGCTCGTTGTGACCGACGTGGTTGTGCTCGTCCGGGACCGGAGGCTCGGAGGGGGTCGGGGTGGATGGAGGCTCTGTATTTGACGGCTCTTGGTGCTGGTGAGGCTGAGCTTTGCTTTTGTCCATCAGTAAATCATCCTGCATGTTTTGAGCTGAAACACAGATGATCAGTTATTATTGATCACAGCGGTCGGGGCTGGGGTTTTTATTATTAATGAGCCCCTGATCAGCCATGTAGCTATCAGGAACTGTCTCAACTCCGGTTATACCCCCCTCGCAACACGAATAAAGGAGAGAAAAGCTCGGAGGTCACCGATATTCACCTATTTTCGCCACGTCTCGTTTTTCTCTCACCGGAACTCCAGACAGAAATGAGAAACTTCTTCTTGTTCCTGTTTTTTTTCTTCTCACAAGCCCCGCCCCTCAATTTGCATACGTCAACAAATACAGCTGCGTCCTTCAGCGAGGTTAAAGCGCGCATAAATAAATGAGGACATTTAAGCGTGTACAGTCATTTGTTTACAGTCAAACGTTGAATTTGGACGAATGACAGCTACTTAGCCAAATACAAACGTGCAAAAAGTTTCTTGTAGTTTTACAGCTAATAATTAATAATAATTGTATTATATTAAAATTAATAAGAATTTTTCTGGTTCAGTGCATTACAGAATACATGCTGATATTTCCGGTGACTTCATCTCTAATGTGCAATAACTTTTGTGCGTTGGTATCGTGTCAAACGATAGTTTGTTGTGTATTTATGATGTCTACATGTTTATTCGTACAAATGTATCTTTTTATTGTAATATATGTTGTGCAAATTATTGTGCATCTTATTTATTTAGTGTATTCATACAACCAGTAAAGTACATATCTAGCTATCTAGTAAGAAAGAACATGTACAGTTCTAAGCTCAAGTTTGTAAACTGTATGTTTGACTTGGATGGTGTACAACAGACCGTGGCACAGCTCAGCAACTAGGTTATATTTGCTGCAGGATCTTGGGTTACACCCAGCAATGCTGCACAAAACATCTACGCAACAGAAATCCCTAAAGCTTTTTATTTTTTTCACTTAATTCGAGAAATATCCGAGACACATCTCTATTTTGCAGCCTTTAGGAATTATGTCTGGTATATTGTTTACCAATTTTGTGAAGGGTTAAGCCTACCATTTCTTATGCAAAAAAAAAGATCGAGCGAAAATATATTTTAACCATATGCAAAAAAAAAAGTAGGCTACATCAATTTCTACATACCTCTTGAGGGTTTCTACGATGCTAAATATATTCCCATGAAAAACAGGCCGAGAATGCGACAGTTTCAGCGAGCCTGATGGATTTATGAACTCAACCTTTAATCAAATTTTAATCAGAATAGACGATCGTAACAAGATGAAGAGCGTTTCTGCCAAATATTCCGTCCGTTAATCCTCGTTTTGCTGCATATTCAAGGTCATTATAGAACTCATCACTTCACAGCACGCGTTGACCATCTAAAAGACAGTAAATAATATTGCTGTATACCGGCACATCACATGCATGTATATTATAATGCATTTCTAAAATGCACCGGGTTATTGGAAAGGGAAAGAAATCAAATCCAACACTTTAATCCGCTGCACACAACTCAGAGTAGCTATTATTAAACACACATAACATGCATCTGATGGGTTGACTTTTTTTCTCTTTCTTTCTTTTTTTTCCCGCTGTACATAAATCAGACTTTACCTTATCGTTCACCTTTTGGGATTCTGTAAATAAGGCTATTTCTGTTTGTCTCGCCTGGGTTTTGATATGACAGATGAGCTGCCCTTCTGCAGTCGCCTCAACAGCTGATTGACCGCGGCGCATGGCTGATGCACTGAGGGATTGTGGGAATTGTAGTTTTTCGGTCAATACAGCCATCAAACGCACTATATGACGCGTTGTAAAGCTTATAATATAACATGCAAATCACAGTTTAACCCTTTAGCATACAGTGACAGTCCCAATACAGGTGCATCTCAATAAATTAGAATGTCGTGGAAAAGTTCATTTATTTCAGTAATTCAACTCAAATTGTGAAACTCGTGTATTAAATAAATTCAATGCACACAGACTGAAGTAGTTTAAGTCTTTGGTTCTTTTAATTGTGATGAGTTTGGCTCACATTTAACAAAAACCCACCAATTCACTATCTCAACAAATTAGAATATGGTGACATGCCAATCAGCTAATCAACTCAAAACACCTGCAAAGGTTTCCTGAGCCGGTCCAGATGGTGTGGCATTTAAATTAGGTAGGCTACTAAATATTAAAATATTAAAGACACAATTTTTAAATAAAATATGATTTTATTTAGCAAAGTATAGCACCCTTATGATAGAAGAAATATTACCTGACATAACAGAACTTTGATATGCAACAAAACTATGATATAGGAGGTGCGCAGTGATATGATGAACAGGTTTTGGGTCATAGATGGTGACATATTGTGGATTTTAACACGTTAAAATGCTGCACTGAACAATAAGAAGCTAGGACAAGACCTATCCATTTTATAACCGAATATTAAGCCAGGTTTAGTCGCAGTGACAATGTTTAAATGCACAGCAAAATGACCTTTAACTGATGAAAGAATAAAGTTTAAAGCATTCACATAGGCATATAGGCTAATTGGTATACAATTGTACTATATCAAATATCAAGATAATATCAAAATAAATATGCAAATCTGCTACATGGCTCCATATTCACTGCTCCTGTCATAATGGAAATTCATTTATTAAATAATTAACTTAAATTATAGATCTAAGATATCTATTCATTGACTAATACTAATAAATAAGTTAATATAAAATACAGAAAATATTATAAAATGATAAAAGTGATTGAAATTGACCAATGTGGGTCAAATTTGGGGCATTTTCCTATAGAAGAATAGTAGAGTTAATTTGAATAGCAGAATATGCTTGTCACTTAAACTCTCATATGTATCAATGAAGTCAATAAAAGAAAAATGAACAAAAGAAATGATCAAAATCATAACACATCAGCAATAAACAAACACCATATAATTACCTAACCATATGCCATATGAAAAGGGAAATGAATGAAGCCCTCACTCATGCTATTACTATTTCCTGGATGCTATGCCATGTTAAAGAAACTATGCATTCTAATCATTTATAAATTGTACTGAAATATGTTGTCTCTCCTTACCACAGTACGAGGTATTCTGGAGCCAAATATGTATCTTCATGTTGCTCCAGCAGGCGTAGTCCCTCTTGCTCTAGGCTGCCTGCCTCTGCTAGAACATCAATTTTTATATTTTTGGCTACATGACATGAAGACTACACGTCCCATAGTGCATCTGTGCTCTCGCGAGAGTCAAGTTAATGCTCGCACAAGTGCGTCCGCTCGCGTTTTCTCACGCGCAGTCAATGGAGTCGCTGCCTGTTTCTGGAATTACTGACATTTATGAATACTCATTAATAGATCGGTTCATAATAATCAATCTCAATGGTTTATAATCAGATTTCAGCCGTTGTTTAATGACAGTAAGACGCTCGTGTGCGTTTAGCGCGGCGTTAAGATTCCCTGCGGCCTGACGATTAAATCTCTATTATTGAAATATTGAAATATTGCCATAATTTCGTTTTCAGGTATTAATTAAAGTGTGTGGACTCATGTAAATATGGCAGAAGAGGGAGCGGTTGTGGTGCAGCAGATTGTGGACAGGTGAGTGAAAGAAATGCAATGTAAACAAACGGCTAATGTCAGCAAAGAGACATTTGTGGACTTTTATATAGTTCGAAATATTCTTAAACGTATATGAATATTCTTAAAGAACAATTAGAGTAGCTTATGAGTGATTGTTTGCAGGTTTAGAGCGTTTCTGCTCTTATATAGAGATGCTGTGAGGGGGCGTGACCTTCATTTGGCCTTTAGTTTAGTTTTGATTCAGTCTTGCTCTTTTGATTCTATACTTTTTAGATCTTTAAGGTCGTTTATGTTTAACAGCTCCTGTTCTAAAGATCCATCTATTTTTTTAACGTCTGATAACACACTTATTTGTGTCTGGAAACCGATGTGCAGAACTGACAACCATTAGACGTCAACAACAGAATATGCAGTATTGATATTATTATTATTATTAATATTGGTTTATTATAATTAAGTATTTATATGAATTCCTACTTATAGAAATGTTTATTATTTGAGCTGTGAAGTTGATAATTGTCCTTTTAGGAGTGGGATAACTTCTGGTTATGAGTATGTAATTCCTGATTCCTAAGCATTTTTAGTTATCTTAGTATGCGTCACGTGAGTGCATATTTTACTGGCTCCAATAATACAGGAGTTAAAAAACAGTCAGTTTTAAGACTTCATCATATGTTCGTTACATTACCATTTTTGTTTGTTTTACAAACTGTGTAACACATTGAAATGATTTCTTGTGTTAATCAACACTATGACAGCTTAACTCGTATTGACCCCAGAATATTCCTTTAGGAAAACAGCTTAAGTCACACCAGGCTTGATTGCCTGTTTGATCTGACCTGCTCACCTGCTCAGGTCAGCGGATGATTTGGGAAAGGTTCATGGTAAAACTTTTGCCACGTGACTGCGTGATGTTGGTCTTAAGTATTATGAGCTTTTACTTTGAATGAACCCGCAGCAAAAAGGACAGTGTGTCCTGGAGACGTTTATAATGACACTGTTGTTGTGGTCAGTGTTTTCAGGTTGACCCTCAGGGGTCATAAATAAGCACTATTGGATATTCCATGTAATTGCAGATTTTTTATATAGGAGCATTTTTTGGTAAATGACATGGACAAGTTCTCATTTCAGTAATTATTCATTGGGTCACTGCGTGGGGTCGAGCTGTTTGGTGTCCTGACCTTGTCCATGTGTTTCCACGCAGGCTGTCCTGTTTGCCAGAGGGTCAGCACTTGCAAAATAAACTAGACTGCACTGGCCTGCTGATGGGACACAATTGAGCGGATCTGTCCTTCCAGTCCAATAAAAGACAGCTAAACTTTCATATGTTAGTATATATACATTTTAAAAGGTTTTTTTTGGAAATAAATTAATACTTTTATTAATCAAGGAAGTGTTCAATTAATCTAAAATGACAGTAATTTTTTTTTTACAAGATTTCTACTTAAATGCTGTTCTTTAAGAATCCTAAAAAATATGTAATAAAAAAAATCATGCATTTTCTTGAGAAAAAATTCAAATGTCATTCAATCACAGTTTAATAACTAGTGTTTTACCTGCAAGACATTGCATAAATATTGTAAATAAAATATAATATTTTATATAATGTTGTAAATGTAAGATACACAACTGTTCACAGTTTTTATAAGACATTAATATTTTTATTTAGCAGCGATTTAGTACATTGATCAAAAGTGACTAAAGACACAGACCATTTCTGCTGTTCTTTTGATTTATGATGTCCTTAATCAAATAACCTTGAATAGAAATGTAGCACGGTTTCCACAAAAATATGAAGCAGTCCAGCTGTTTTCAACATGTATATGAATAAAAATGTTTCTTGAGCAGCAAATCAACATATTAGAATTATTCCTGAAGGATCAAGTGACACTGAAGACTGGAGGAATGATGCTGAAAATTCAGCTTTGCATCCCAGAAATGAATTTCATTTTAAAATATATTCAAATACAAAACAGTTATTTTAAATTGCAATAATATTTCACAATATTGCTGTTTTGGCTGTGTTTGTGATCTAATAAATGCAGTTTTGCTAAGAGACTTCTTTTAAAAACATTTAAAAAATCTCACCGACCCCAATCTTTTGAACGGTAGTAAATTTGAACTTTGAAAGTCTCCTCATACTTGTGTTTACATCAAAGGAAATAGGTGTTGAGAGGATAGTACTGGACTAGCTGGTGTTGGTAAACTGGTTTATTGGCACATTAGGCGGTTTGCAGACATATCTGTGTCAGTTGTCATGGTGAAAGCTCTCATCTCTCTCAAATGGATCCTGCATCCTTCTCTAATGTCCGTCACTGAGGCAACAACCTTCACAGGTCTGCGTGGAAGCAGATAGCCGTACGCCAGCGCGCAGCTCTATCAACACACGGCCTTATCGAGGCCTGCCACCCGCAGCTGCTCTCTCTGCAATGCAGCTCTTCGTCGCTTGAAAAGACAGGGTCACGCTAAAGTCCTGTCTGACCTTTACGTGGCAGACACTCTATCACCCTCTTTTGTTCTCGTCGGTATTCAGAAAGCCGGCTCCGTTTATTTTGGCTGTTTTTAAACCTCACTTTCTCTGCCTTATTGTTTTTCCCATCCAGCTTTAATGTGTTTCCAGTTCCACATCATCATGGATAAAACAAATGTGTGTCTGAGTCATGTTTGAAAAGTGTCTGGAAATAATCCACCATCATTTGGACCTTTGGTGTTATGTTCTGTTTGAAAGTCAATAAAATGCAGTATTGCATGGTGCCTATGCTAATTGCTATGGAAGACCATTTCTACTATGGAAAAAAAGGTAATTGTATGACTTTTTATCGTACAATTCAGACATTGTTTCTCGCAAGTCTGGGAAAAAGTCAGAACTGTGAGATATAAACACAATTCTGACAATTCTGAGTTTATATCTTGCTTTTTTGTCTTTTTTTTTCCCCCTCAGAATTTGGAGTTTACATCTCGTAATTCAGATTTTTTTTTTTTTGTCTCTGAATTCCAAGTTTACATCTCACAATCCATTTTTTTTCTGCCTTGAAATAAAAAAAAAGGTACAAAGGTAACTGCGACTATTTGTCTCACAATTGTGACTTTTTTCCTTGTAATTGTGATTTTATATCTCACAATTCTGGCTTTTTTTCTCTGAAAAAAGTTAATTGCGGCTATTTTGCTCACTTTTTAAAAATATTTATTTATGGGCTTTTTTATGCTTTTATTTGGACAGAACAGTATAGAGTTGACAGGAAAAAATTGGGTGGAGAGAGGGGGGGTGGGATCGGCAAAAGACCATGAGACGGGATTCGAACTCGAGTCGCCGCGAGTAGGGATGTTCATTTTGGTTATTTTTCCTAACCGACAACCGACGCTCGTTAACCGACAAGATTATTTTACATTAGAATTAAATTAAATTAGAAAGGATAAGTGTCTGTGAACCGGTAAAAATACTAACATTTGTTTCCCGGGGATTAATTTTACATGTGCAAAAAGCAGCAACAACAGAACATGAGGATTCACATGGTCTTCATATCACATCATGCACCTGCAGCACTTCTGCGAGCGGAGAAAAACATAATAAAGCAAGGCTGTATATATATATATATATATATATATATATACATACATATACACAGCCTTGCTTTATTATTTTATATATATATATATATATATATGAAGAGTTCA